TCCCTCCCGCCCCAGGGATCAGGGTGATTATCCTGAGACTAGTATTAGTGGTGCAGGGTCTTCCCAGAGCTGAAATGCTGCTGTTTATTGGAGGAGGCAAGGGTTCTGGAAGTGGAGAGGGAGAGCGTTCCTTTGCCAAGCCTCCGACACCTTCTACCCTGAGCTCTAACCCCAGGATGGGGAGTTGAGTTCCTGTCCCCCAAACCTTATCACTGTTTATTTTGCCCTGAAAGGTTCTGGCTAGGACTTTTGTCAGGGCTCCAACTTGCTGCTCCCGGTGAGGTGGAAAGGCCCATGGGAAGCTGAGATCAGGAAAGAGATGGCCCAGCTCCCTGCAGGACATCAGTGTGTCTTTTCTTCTTTTTTTAAAAATTGTGCTCTTCTTTTGTAAGCTACATTGCAGAGAAAGCTGTGCTCTATTACCTACCACTGCCTCCTCTCCCTCTGTTCACACATCACCAGAAATGATACAGATTCTGCCATTCTCCCTGCTCATGTCTCCTATTTACCCAGTTTAAGTGGGCTACACAGTCCAGGACCACCCCCACCCCCAGACCTGCCCGTCTCTTTCCCCATCCCTCATAAATCCCTCAGAGATCATCCCTGAACCAATGTCCAGAGTTGCATGTCTACCAGTGCCTGAGTCTGAACAGGCACTTCTTGCAGACTGAGACTTGAACTTTTTCCTTAGGGAGGCCCTTCACCACCATGCAGAGCAAGGACCTGAAGCATAAAGTGAGTGCTCAGGACAGAGTGAGGGAGTGTGGACCAAGGGAGTGTGATTCTCAACTCACTGTGAGAACAGTTAAGTGACAAAAATCTGGTAAGGACTGAGAAAAGGCACTAAGCAGCGGGGGCTGTTATTTATGATTTTCTATAAATAAGTTCTGAGAGACCCTTTGTCCTCTTTTTGTAAGTTCTGTTCTGTTCTGTTCTCCCGATCCCTTGGTACTCTGCATCTGTCCTCCTGCCTATCCCTCAAAATCCATGACATTTCTAGGTAGATGCTGCCTTCTTTTTGGAGGAGAAAGCCTTGCTTGCACTCATTTGCGCTCTAAGTCTGAGGAGAGACAAGTGACAGAGCAGTCCATAGGCAGATTGACAAAGGAAGATCAGTGACCCCTTAGATCAGCAGTTCTAAGTCTACTGTGAGATCAACAGGAACTGTTGTGATAATCTCAGCTGGCCTCCAATATCCAATTTCTATAGACTGACAATGATAATGTTGTTATGTGCCATCTGGTCACCTGTGACTCATACTGACTCTATGTACAACAGCCTTCAACCCTGAACCCTGCTCTATCCTGAGCCAATTTCATTGTCTCTCACATACCTACCCCTCTTACCCCAGTAACTGAGTCAATCCATCTCATCCAGTGTCGTCCTCTCCTGCTCAAACTTTCCAAGCAAAATTTTCTTCTCCAAGACTGGTCCTTCTTGGCATCATGCCCAAAGTATGTCAGACGAAGCTTCAAAATCCTTGCCTCCAAGAAATAGCCTGGTTTCACTCTCTCCAGGATGGAACTGTTTGTTCTCTTAGCAGTCCATAGTATATTCAATACTCTTCTCCAGCACCACATCTCAAAGGCATCAATTCTTCTTCATCATCCTTAGTCATTATCCAGCTCTCTGATGCATAGCAAGTAATTGTGAAGCCCACGGCCTGAATCCAGTGCACCTTAGTCTGTAGACTGACACTGTGGCGGTTTGGTACTCTGGACAGGTCCCCACCAACAGCAGATTTTCCCAATGCAATTCGCCTTTTGATGTCCTGGCTACTGGTACCAAGAGTGTTGATTATGGAACCAAGCAAACTGAAGTTATTTTTTTTTCTATAATTATATTTTATTAATTTTCATAAACATTTACAGAGATTTTGGGTTTCCATTCATTCATTGTTGCACTATTCTCTCTACCCTCCTCCCAGTTTGTTCTTGTCCAAATGCCACAGTGCTTGTCAAAGCCAGTTCTGATTAATCTTCTTTGTCATTGTGTCCTTTGCCATTCCCTATCACTCCTCCCTGAGAGAGACTTCACCCTGAGTCATAAGGAAAAGGGGATGGCGTATTCTCTTAGCTACTTCCTGCTGAAAAGGGATGCTGTGGGTTTCAGGGTGAAGATCTTCTCTCACTACTCTAAAGGGCCCCTTTGGCAGTAGGAAACACATAGACTATTATGGAGATTGATTTTGGAATTTAGATGCACTCTTATTGATTGTGCTTGGCCGTACATGTTCATATCCTTGAAGATGTATCATGGGGGTGTTGCAACCTAGAAGACACAAATTTGACTAACAAGTTATAAGTACTTGAGTCCAAAAATTATGGAAAAGTAAAAGAAAAGATTCTTTCATTGTTTTACAAACCCTCCCCCAGGTCCCCTCCACCATGTAGCCCTCGCTCTAGTCTCCTGTGATGACAGAAATACCTAGTTCAAACTGAAGTTATTAACAATCTCAATCTTTTCTCTGTTTGTCATGCTGTTGCCCATTGACCCAGTGGTGAGAATCTTTGTTTCCTTGATGTTGAGCTTCAGTCCATATTGTAGGCCTTGACCCTCTGCAGGAAATGCCTTTGTTCCTCCTCAGTTTCAGCAAGAAAGGTTGTGTTATCTGCATAACACAGGTTGTTGATGAGTGTTCCTCCAATCCTGATGCGACATTCCTCCTCATAAAGCCCAGCTTTCCGAATGATCTGTTCTGCATATAGATTGAGAAAGTATGGAGAGAGAATGCATCCCTGCTGTATATCTTTCCTTATCTTGAACTATGCAGTGTTTCCTTCCTGTGTTCTGACAACTGCCTCGTAGTCCAAGTATAGGTTTTGCAGGAACACCATCAAGTGTTCTGGGATTCGTTCTTCTCAGAGTCAGCCACAGTTTGTTGTGATCCACACAGTCACATGCCTTTGCATAGTCCATGAAACAGATTGACATTCCTCTGATACTCTCTGCTTTCAGCTAAGATCCATCTAACATTGGTTATAATGTCCCGAGTACCACGGCCTCTTCTAAAACCAGTCTGTGTATCTGGCAGTTCTGTGTTTATGTGCTGTTTCAGTCATTTTTGGATCATTTTCAGCAGGATCTTGCTTGCACGTAACATAAATGATATTATTTTATAACTTCCACACTGTCAGGTCACCTTTTGTTTTGGAATGGGAAAAAATATGTGTCTCTTCCAGTCAGTTAGCCTT